TTTTCAGTAGTCGCTGACAGTATTCTGTATTTTCCTGATGGGTTGATATCACAGTGTAAAGGATTCTGATCGTTTAATCAAGTGTTTTGGTACTGATTCCACATACACATTTCCTAATGGCCTCTAATGGCAGCCATCTGCCAAACCATCAGGTTTTATTCCTAACGGCCCTGCAAACACAGTTATGCTGTGACGACGTACTGTTTTGGTGCCCACAGCGTCGTCTGCGTGGTTCTCTCTACATTGTCGCAACGTTGAAATGTAATTCTGACAACTTTCTAGGAGGTTCTGACGACGTTGACGAAACAGCAGAAGTAATCAGTACTACGTTGACTGTACGTTGTCAACCTCCTAGAACCCTTAATAAGTTCTATTTTAATCAATTTTACAGTTTTTGATAACCGGTTCTGATTGTCTTCAGCATGGCTTTCATGAGTCTCAGTAGCCTTTTTGTTTTTTCTGCGAATAAACCTGACATTCATGTCTGACCGTCGTGGTAGGTTTTATTTTAAAGGTTTCCATATTTAATCACCTTATTATCAGTATGGCAACGTTAATATACATTCAGTATAACTCTTGTTGCCCAGCAGTACGTGGTTCACTGTTTTTCCTCATAAAACCGACAAAAACACTGTCGCGGCAGAGCGGCACTGACTTCATCAATAGGTTGGCGGTGCATGTCAGACTCAGAGCGCATGTCTGCAGCCAGACCCTTCTCCAACTAACAGTAACTGTGCGTTAACATGTGCAAAAGTTTGTTCTTTGTAGAAGATGTGTTAACTTGTCAGCACAGCATGTCTGTTATTGTACTTTATGTCCTGGTATTATTGCACTATTCATATTTGCACAGTCTATTACTGCACTATTCATGTTTGCACAGACAGTTACTGTACATGCTTTACTTGCATACTTATATTTTTACATACGCTGCTCCCACAGTACAGAAGTGCTGTCGGAACAAAACTTGAATCTGGTAACTTTACAGGAGAAGGAAAAAAACTAGTTTACATTTAATGTAAGTCAATGGAACCAAAGTAATTTTGGGCCGTTTCTTTTGGTCCATTCATCATGAAACTCACAGTGTGAAGGCCAACAGGCATTTTCAAATTATGCCAAAAACGGAAAAATTGACAAAAAGAGACATACAAGGTTTTGTCCCGACAACAAAGATATGCTGCTCTCACAGTACATACATTTCGCTTCTGTTGGAAGAAAACCTTTTATCTTCATTTTTATTGTTTTCAGTTTTTGACATAATTTTAGGTTTTTTCTTTCTCCTGTAAAGTTACCATTTTGGAGACACAAGGTTTTGTTCAGACAACAATGATTTGCATTCTCTCCACTCACTCTGTATATACAGTATGTATACTATATTTATAATTGCAAATCTATATTTTATTTACCACTATACCATCCTTCTGCACTTTAACTGTAAATAATACTGTACTTTGCACTTCTGGTTAGATGCTAACTCCATTTCATTGGCTCTGTACCTGTACTCTGCACAATGACAAAGTCGAATCGAATCTAATCTAATGTCATCTGACTGTTTAAACAGGAATGCGGACAGACAATCAGAATGCAACTGACGAAATGCCAACAGCAACAATGCAATAGATATGAGACCCTCCATATATCTGTTGGTGGAATGTCTGAAGCTGAGGCTATGAAGTTGAATGATGGAACCCCCACCCATACTAATGTCCAAAGTCTTGGAGTGTGTAAACTGTATTTTTTCATTTTATAAAAGCAATAAGCCACTTGAGGTCATGTGTTACAGTGATTTTACCGTAAAGCAAATTAAACTGATTAAAACCATTTATCTTATCAGTATGTCTTTTTCTTGTAATTTTGCTTATATTATAAAATAATACAAATAAACATCACATGTACATTAAAATGTATATTAAAACATTTTTTTTTACCCGATTTTTCTCCCCAATTTCACCCCCAGCCACGGCACAGATTTTATTGTTTTGATCTTATATGTATTTACTGTCATGTTTTTTGTGCTTTTCTGAGCAAATAAATGCCTCATACCCTGCTTTTAAATGTAAATATCTCAGGTGCCTAAAACATTTGCACAGTACTACATCATACCCTTTAATTACGGTGAAACAACTGTAACACACGGCCTCTCGGGGCTTACTGCTTTAATATTCCAGTGCTGCTGTCTTTTCGTGAGATCACACAAACCCACAGGCAGCTGTTCTCCTGAGCAGCTTTTATCTGCTAAGTAACTGCGTACGTACAGCAACCCTCAAGGTTTTTCAACCTTAAAGCAAAATGCATAGAGACCATAGAGACCAGGGCTGTTTTGTTTTCACAATGCATGAACCAATCAAACAACAAAGCAAACAACAAGCCAACCGCACTGAGTTCCGTTCATTTTTGGGTTCATTTAGAGGAGACTGAGTTTGACACGTTCACATATGCACAGTAAACCATGACTCAGCGGTCTGAGACCACTTGAAGCGCTGAAGTGGTTCATGTGTGAAAATGTCAAGTCCTCAGCATATGTGGAACTTTTTCAAGCAAGTTAGAAAAGCCCCCCAGTTGGCTGCTTGTGAAGCTGCCAAGAACGGATACTGGGAATTTAAGTAATCTCACATTCACAATACAAGCCTCATTGCTCAAATCCATTTTTTAGCTCAGATGCGATCTTTCTGACATGATGGTTCGTGTTGGTGACTCAAATCTGTCATTAATATCAACAAACTTGTGTTCTGAAACAACCCACACGCACACATCCTAATCAACATCAGGCGAATGAACCACGAACATCATAAACAGCAGGCATGACAAGTCATGTGTCGTGACCACATAATGGCTATCGCAATCGGAAGATTGTTGGGCAGTCGTGGGCTGGAGGTTAGGGAACCAGCCCTGTGACCGGAAGGTCGCCGGTTCGATACCCTGAGCCAACAGTATGTCACTGAAGTGCCCTTGAGCAAGGCACCTAACCCCCAACTGCTCCCCGAGCGCTGTGGATAGCGCTGCCCACCACTCCGGGCAAGTGTGCTCACTGCCCCCTAGTGTGTGTATTCACTAGTGTGTATGTGGTGTTTCACTGCACAGATGGGTTAAAATGCGGAGGTGAAACTAAGGTGGGACTAATAAGGGTCTCAATCTTAGATGGTACAAGGATCATAATAATAATTTAAATGCAATTATTTTATTTAAATTAAATAACATTTATGAGGGATAATTTAAAACTGCAAATTTAAATGTCAAATTTTGCAACCATCAAAAACTGAAGTGCTAAAAATTAATCTTAGGGTCTAAAACTTAATTTCCAATTATGGATTTCAACTATGCAGCTCACTTAAGGTAAAAGAAAAACCTGAAGCCAAAACTCACTTAAGACGTTTTATGCAAGTCATCACAGGCCTGTTTTGGGCAAGAAGTTGAACAAATCTATGTTTTTGGTTTTTTTTTGGAGGGGGGGCACTTGTAGCCTGAATGCTGCATATAATGTGCCAGACAAGCTTTGTGTTATTTGGTTAAATACCCCCCTTAAAACTTGTCAATAATGCAAGGTATAATTAGAATTACAGCCACTGCGATTTTGAAAACTGCACTCTTTCAAATTGCGATTTCATTAGGGAAACGATTAAACATTCAGGCCTACACAAGCCCTAATGGATGTTCTGGCATTAGCCCTCCAGGATTGGCAGTGTTCTCACGAACGGGAAAGAAACACCTGGAATTATTGTAGGCAAGTGAGAACAAACAAACAAACCAACAAACAAACAAATAAATAAATAAACAAGGCCAATAAAAAAAAGCAAAAAAGAGAGAGACGGCAAGGGTTCAAGAGGCCAAGAAAACGGCTTGCGTGAGAAGTAGGAGCTGCTCTGAATAACAGAACAGAAGATAATTGGTTAATAACTCAACGGAATGAGCATTTTAATAATTGTGTGCGTAATTGAGCCAGTGTTTGAGCTAAGAGCCGTGGGACGGCAGATGTGGGGGAAGCGGACAGCGGTGGGTGGGATAGTGGAGCTGATAACACCAGCAGGGCTCCCCAGAGGAGTCGAGCCCACACTGGAGTGCAGGGCTAACGAGGCCTTCGCCCCCACTGTGCTGACAGCTCGGCATGATTAATAATGGAAGAGTAGAGCTGCTCAACAGTCGTTATCTCTGTTATTGGAACACAATATGACGGTATCATGATTATAGATGTGCAGAAGTTGGGGGGGGCACACGCATGCAGATGTGAATATGTTAAGTGTGCAAATGTGTTTGGACATGCGGAAACGTCTACAGTGATAAAAGAGCTGCAACACATACGTGTGCGTGCACAATTGAGCGGCACATGTTGTGCCTACAGCTGCTATGAGTGCAGCTACTAATGGCACGTTAATGGACATGATCTCAGTGTCTTCTACAGCACAATCTTCGCTAATGTTTTCTATTATTGCTAATGCTGCCAGATAAAACTGCTTCACTGCACCCAACAATAACACCCCGCTCTTTAGTGTCACCGCAGACACTCGCCTAGCTGAGATTTTGAAGCAGGACTTAAACTATTGCTTTCATCAACACTTGCAGAGGAACCTAAGCTCAATAATATTTTAATACTGGCCAATAAGGTATAATAAAGACTTGCAGCCGCTAAGTCTACGGCTATGAATGCTGCCCTTAAGGACGCCCCCCCACCCACCAACTAGGAAATTAAAGCTTTTCTTTTACTCCTTACAAAGCTCTGTAGCTGTTAACATTGCTAACAATGGACGATGAAAAACCCATGCAATCCTAATAACAATGGCGGAAACCTGTTACTTGTATTAGGCTGGAAAACAGACATTCACAGCTGTGCTAGACACAGGGAGAAATTCATTACTGGAGGCAGCGAATGGTGGCAAGCAAAAGTGGTGCAAAAGCAGTGCAATTTCACACTTTCTGCTGTGAAATGGGCTTTTGTCTTTCTGTCCATTTTTCAGACTTTCAGACTTCATTTTTAGTGACTCTGCGTCTCCTTTTCCTCGTTTCCTTACTGGTTGATGTTCCTGGAGTGCCGAATTGAGAGGGCTCCATGAGTTTACGCGGAGTGGACAGGCTGCTGACGTCCAAAATGGACGAGTCCTTTGGAGTGGACCTGGGGAGAAAGGAAAGAAAAATTGGGGGAAACACGTTAAACACAATTTAAAGCCGTAAAAGGCTGCAGTGTTTGTTTTTACAGTAAGTGACAGACGATCAAAGAGAGAAATACAGCTGCGCAGAGTCCTTCTGGAGCCAGCACCTTCAAAAGTCTGAGGTGGGAAAAAAGCAAAGGAATTCACAGGAAGATAAGTAAAATTGCAATTATGATACAAGGCAAAGTAATTCCCTACTTGCTCTTGTTTATCAAAGTCGCGTGTTGGCAAATCTGATCGTAAAAATGAGCACATGCAAATTTCAGCAAACTTGACAGTTTTGCTATTCTTCAATTTCATCTGCCATATGTGGTAGAAGTGCCTGTACATCTGTGCATAAATATGAGCCGTTTAAACAATGCTTGATTAACTTGATGCAGTCGAATAATAAAATCTATCATCAATATTATTAATGATATCAGCACTAACAATAAAAAACAGAAAATTATGATGACAATAATAACTGTGCGCACAGCAATCCTACTAAAGCATACTTCTTTTTACGTCCACACTTATTTAAACAAATGATTTGCTCCAATATGTTCCATTGAAAGACTTTTACTTTATACATTCTGCTACTAAATAACTACCTCCCTAAAATAGAAAACACAGCTTAGCTTGTACAGTAAAAGCCATCTAATGTACTGCAATATCATCAATGGAGCAGCCATGAAAATAATCACACTACATAATCACATCATCTGAAAAAAGATATAACATTTTGGTCATTTCACATTTTATTCGCTCCAATTGTCGTAATTTTAGCACTATAACATTATTTAAGCTCTGGTTCGTAGTGGGAGCAGTGCACTTCCTGCTCAACCACAGAATCCACCTATGAGGACAATCTCTGGACCATGAGGCTGCTGAATGCTTTCCTTTTTTTTTGGCTCGCAATGGAAACATCTGCATGAATCAGGCTGTGCTTCATGTAAATTACATGAATATGAGGACAAATTGTGGCATGTCCACTGCCAATGATATGTCAAAAGGGACTAATGCCTGAGGGCTTTTTTCCACACACTGAAGCTGATTCATCAGTTGCACTCAAATGACTGCTTGTTTCACAAGGCAAGTCTGCGGCCGTTTAGGTTAACTCTTTGCCTGAGACCACTTAAAACGACCCATTTCGCCTGACAAAGGAGAGCTGAGACGTTTTTGCACGTTTTTCCAGAGCCCAAAGTCGTTTTCCAGTTTGAAACCCGACGCCGAGGTGTGAGGATCCTACAATATACATCATACTACAGAGCCGGCTTTTTGCACAGATGCAGCACCAAGCATGTTTAACCAGCGCACTTGTATTTCTATAACAGTCTCATCAATGGTTGGTCTTTTTTGTCAATCATCACCAGGCACAGGCCTACACAGTAATTTGAACACCGTGTAACCATTTAAGCTCTGGCGAGTAGGCGAGGCAGTGCACTTCCTGCTTGACCCCAACCTCCACTATGAGGACAACCATTGGCTCATGAGCTACTAAATGCTTTTCTTTTATTGTTTTACTAGAGAAACATCTGCTTGAACCAACTGCACTCAAATCACTGATTGTTTCATCGTCATATGACAGTTTCCTGAATCAAACTAGGCAAGTTTGTGGACGTTTAGCTCGGTCATTTGCCTGAGACCACTTAAAATGACCCATTTCGCCTGCTGAACGAGAGCTGAGACATGTTTTTGCACATGCTCTTCCCGAGCCCTAAGTTGTTTTTCAGTTTGAAACCTGAACGGATCCTAAAATATCCATCATACTTTATAGGCGGCTTTTCATACAGGTGCAGAGCCAACCAGCACAGCTGCCTTTCTATTACAATATCATCTATGGTTGGTCAATTCGGTTAACCGCCGCCGAGCACAGCCTACACAATAATTTTAACGCTATAAAGCTATTCAAGCTCTAGCTGGTAAGAGGCAGTGCACGTCTTGCTTGATCCCAAACTCCACCATGAGAACAACCAATGGCTCATGAGCTGCTGAATGCTTTTTTTATTGGCTCACTATAGAAACATCTGCTTGTTTCTTGTATTCTTCTGTTTCTTGTAGAACAAACAAGCTAAAACACTGGTACTTTCAGGTCCGTTTGGAAAGACCCGTTAAAAAAAACAAAAAAAAAAACTGCAGTCGCTTCATGACCTCGACTAATAAATCACTTTGCCTCATGAAAGCTGTGAGCTGTAATTGCGGGCCAGTAAACACAGCAGTCGTGGAATAAAAACACACCGCCGCATTCCTGAGATCAAAAACAACAGCACAACAACACACTTTAGCTCGGCAGGGTCGCCGACCTGCATTAGCCTAATGTGCTACACTGTGGCGTCTTAGCTAATACAAAAGAATTAGCATTGCGCGGCAGCGACACCGGTCCGTACAGCTCGCTAGCACAGGGGGCCTGTAATCCCCTGGCGACTGCTGCGTGGCTGCTGGAAAACAAAAACCTGCCCATTATTATTCCTCTCATACTCATCCACACGCCTCTGAATGAGTTATCCGTGTTTGCGGTAAATGGTGTAGCAGGAACCCATCAGCCCGGCCTTATGTATAGAAAAAGGTGGAGAGCAGCAGCATCTCATTACAATGTACTATTAAGGAGGGGAAAGAGCAGAGGAGATGGAGAACTTTATCTTTTTTTCTTTTTTAAGGATTGATAATCATTCATAAGCATAAATAAAGCTCACAATAGTGGCTGGCATTTAGAGTGCTAACAATGTCCTGGATGAGTTAAAATTCCAGTCCAGATGTGCGAAAACAGTGTCACCGCAATTTGTTTAACTACAGAGAGGATAATAATAATTATCTAATCATTATTGTTAGACTTACATTATCATTCAATAGTTTGGAACCACTTGTCATATAAATCACTGAGTGCATTTACTTGCTCTCAATAATCCGATCATAATTGGATTTCTGCAGTTATCCGATTATTCAAATGGTCATGTAAACAGCACACTCTTTCTTAGACCGGAGTAAGGCCTAGAAATCTGATTAAGAAACCTGATAGAGAGCTAGATTTCTCAGTGCATGTGAACTCTTACTCTGATTTCTTTCGGATTTCTCAGTCTGTGCATGTGTGAAAACAGACAGCGGTACCGTAAATAAGCAAGCAGCGTCGCCGCGAGACGCAGCAAAACACTTTTGGAACGACGCTGAGAGCAACTATGTGCTTGGCGAAACGAAGGATTTAGATATTCTTCATCTTCTGGATGATGTATGTTCATATTGTCAGGTAAAGTGACTGGATGCTTTTGAAAAAAAAAAGCTGCTGCCTGAAGTTTAAGTTTTCCATTATGTTTACTGTCTTGTCTTCTTCTGTGAGTTTATTGGCCTGTTGCAAAGCAGAAATCCGATTCCTGTCTGACTCATGTAGACCTGGGGTTTTCCCATTATCTGATTACTCAAGTGCATGTAAACGTTGATCGGATTACTGACAAAATCTGATTTTTTTGCAATTATCGGATTATTAAGTGCATGTAAATACACTCATTTACTTATACAATGCAAATTTAAAGACCATCAAAAGGTAATTTTAGATATTTTTAAATATTTTAACGTTGGGAACAAGAAGAAATTACAACGTGATAAACACTAGAATGCAATTTTCTGTTGAGAATCATTTTCTGTTAAGTTATGTGCCTCAAGATTTGACACTACTTCTGAGACAGTAGGCATTCTGGACATTGACTTTATTATAACTCCATTCTTGATGCACTACAGCTTTCTGAGTTCAGAAACATCAGCCCCGTTCATCATTCTGGACACATCTAAAGCCTTTTTTCTGTTTCTCAGTTTGCTACAAATTATTTGAAACCTGTGGGAGTGCACAGGACTGGCATTACAGTATCATTTCACACCATTTATCTGCAACTGAAGGGGATTTATTTAATTGAAAATATTGATTCCAAACTTTTGATCAATTATTCCAAACTTGGGAAGCAGTGTACATACTGCAAACCAAATGCTTGCCTAGAATTAACCTGCCAGTTTAATTAATTGCTGACTGGGGCTTAAACCTAAACGAGCATAAGCCTAAACGAACTGAGCATCACTTCTGATGTGCATATTCAATACGAATGCGCATTCCAACTAATCGTCATATTCAAGTATTCGCAAGAGCCAATGAATGGATATCCAGTTAACTTCAGAGAAAGAAAAGGAAAAAAACAAACCAAAGGGGGAAAAAAACAGACTTTGGCCTTTTAGATGATATTAATGAAGATTAAAATCTGAAAACACTTTTTATTATTCAATAATAACCATGGAAATCAGTCGGTTTCACATCTGATGAGTAACAGAAGCTGCCTGTTTAGAAGATTTGTGCCAACGTTACTTTGTCAGAGAAATATATTTTCACTGTTTCTGGATATAGCTAAGTGTAGTGCACCAATGCTGGCCGTACTATCTTCGTTTATTTTTTTAGTCACGACGTTAACTATGTGTCCTCGGCAACGTGCTCACGTTCAAGCGCTCCTGTTTCTTGGTAACAAAGTGTAATATATACTCTCGCAAAACTGTCACATTTTAGTCCTGTTTTAAAACATAAATTTGGCATTCCCCTGAATTGATAGCCTTCTTATTGTCTCCGTCTTCCCATGATGAAACATGACAAATATCAAAAGATGTTTAAGTTTCCAAATACTGGCACCTCGAGCTGCTAATCAAGTACTCGAGTACCCGTGCACATCCACACTAGCACGATTTGTGCAAGAGATGCAAAATTTATTTAGGCTCACAATTTTTCACAGTTCCTCCAGAATATGCAACCTGGCATAATCAGTCACCAACAAACGTGTGAGGTTGACTGTGGATCCGCATTTTACAGTGCAGCGTTTTCAGATCTGCTGTTGTTTTTTGTGATTTGCACTTAGGGGCTCCCATAATTTCCCCTCTCAGTGTCAGTGAATGACTAATTTTGTCGTATTTCAGGGGCTTCACGACTTCAAACATGCAGCAGTTTATGCCAACTTCCCCCGTGTTCTGCCCTACGCTTCATAATTAGTCTAATCAGTTATTCTGTCTGACATGCTCCACACCCTTTTAATGATAAACTGAGGCTGAGGCACTGGATGTTTGTAGGAGCTCTGAGAGAACATGGTAATGAGTGATACAACATCACCAGCAAAAGCATAGGTGAATTAATCAAAGGCTACAAAATGGCCCAGCTGCTCTGAAGCTTCTCATATATGAAATTTAGATCTTGGCCGAGGAGAATATAATACTGCATACAGCTTGTTGGTACAGTTTCATATATGTGCAGATTAGGCATGTGGTAATAATAAAAAAAAATAATAATAATAAATAAATCACAATAATTACCTAACCATTTATAATGGCTTACAATGAAACCACAATATTGAATTTGAATATATATATATATATATATATATATATATATATATATATACACACATACACATCGCTGTTGTTGGAACAAAACATTGTCAATTTTCAGTTGTCTGTAAATTGATGGATGGACCAAAAGAAATGGCCCAAAATAACTTGGAAAAATGTCTGGTTATATTGACTTACATTAAAAGTAGAGTTTGTTTTTTCCTTCTGCCTTAAAGTCACCATCATATACCACATATGTGTGTGTTGCGGCTGTCAGAACAAAACCTTGCACCTCCAAAATGGTAACTTTACAGGAGAAAACATACTTTACTTTTAATGTAAGTCAATGTACCCAGACTCCCCGTAATTATTTTCCATTTCTAAAATTAAAAGGGCAAGCATTTTCAAATTATGCCAAAAACTAAAAAAAATGGAGATATGAGATTTTGTTTATACAGTAGCGATATACACATTTAAGGATAAATACATTATAGAGCCTACAGTATGTGGACACCTGACTACAACAACTATACAAGCTTGCCGAACGTCCCATTCCAAAACCATGGGCATTAATATGGAGTTGCCCCACTTTTCAGTCATAACAGCCTCCAACCCCCTGGGAAGACTTTCTACAAGATTTTGGAGTGTGTCTGTGGGAATTTGTGCCCATTCAGTCAAAGGAGCATTTGTGAGGTCAGACACTGATGTTGGACGAGAGGGCCTGGCTCACAATCGACATTCCGCCTCAACCCAAAGGGGTTCAGTGGGGTTGAGGTCAGGGCTCTCTGCAGGCCACTGGAGTTCCTCCACACCAGACTCATCAAACCATATGGAGCTCGCTTTGTGCACAGGGGCTCAGTCATGCTGGAACAGGAAACTGTCTTCCCCAAACTGCCGCCTCAAATTGCCTGTTAGTCCTTACATTGTGGGTAAATGTCACGATGAATGGACCAAAAGAAATGACCCAAAATGACTTGGAAAAAAGTCTGCTTCCATTGACTTACATTAAAAGTAATCTAGGTTTTTTCCTTCTCCTCTAAAGTTCATTTTGGAGAGACGAAGTTTTCTTCCAACAACAGCGATATAATTGTCTAAAATGTCTTTGTGTGCTGTAGCATCAACATCACCCTTCGCTGGAACTAAGATGCCCAAACCCTGCAAAACAACCCAGCCCATTATCCCTCCTCCAAATTTTAATGTTTTTTCTATGTATTCCAGAGAGTAGCGTTCTCTCGACATCTGCCAAACCCACCATGTTACAAGCATAAGCAGGGCCTGATTAAGTCAGCAGAATGATGACTAAATTACATTTCAATATGAAACTTTCTAATCACTTAGCGCACAATAATATTGCCTGTCAAGCTAGTCTTTTATATCCTGAACATCTATTTTGCTGGAGACACGTATCACCACTAACATCTGTACAGCAATATTTCTGTAATAAGTTTGCGGCACCCATGTAGATAACTGTAAATTAAGGCTGCCAGTTAGTTACGGGTAATTACGCAGGGCATTTCTTTTCATAGACGCTACCTAGGAACTTATAAAGGAGCTTAAAAGCACAATTAAAATCCTTGTCTGAAACCAAAGCACGCACGCTCACCCTCCGAGCCGGCCCTTGTCCTTGTCCTTGCCCCGGTGGCCCACACGGCTGGTGGACTTGATGTAGAGGTGACGGTGCAGTTCATCAATCAGCACTACATGAATGTTCAGCTTCTTGCTGTGCAGCTCCAGACGCAGGTCGCTAAGGCCTTCCACCTGCAGCAGAGGCCCCTCCAGAGACTCCACCGCAGACACCTGCACACAACACAGCACACCTGAGCAGAAACTAGAGATTTATAAGAACTTTTCGATTTTATTTGATCAGTTATATATGAATAATTGGCGTATAGAGCTTAGAGTATGTTTTTAAACTGACTCCTACGCGTGCTATGAAATTTCCTGTTGTGCTACTGAACTTTTTAGCCTTTCGGCACCAGCGCCAGCACTTAAAAACTCCTGCCACATACCCAAACACTACCTACTGTATTCTCACATATACTCACGCCCACACCCAGACAGGAGACAGATGCATCTACTACAGGCTATAAAAGAGTTGCAGGCTGAGAACACAATAAGATGCTGAGGAGAGCCCTAATGGATTTGAATAAATCTCTAATATGAAGCCTTTATTTCACCTATAAATCTGAGTGCTGGGAGACTGTCGGCACACACATACAAAAATGGGAGTATAGCAGAGAGCTACCATGATCCAATGCAGCATGGTAAACATGGCGCCTCCCCTCAGGCCTGACTTTGCTACCGCTGCTCTCAGTGCCATTAGGTCAGTACAGTATGCGCAAACCGCATGGAAATCAGGTTACTCAAGGTAAGTACACTCGATTCACCTCACCTGGCTCCTCGCACTGCATCTTTCCTCTCCTCTGCATCCTACCCCTTTCTCCTAGCACGATGCAGCCAAAACATTAGCACTGTGATTATATTGCTATATTCTGCGATCGTGATACGCCTTGGTAAATGCATTTTCGTTGTCACATGCTGCTGCCATATGGCAACAATTATATTTTACCACTTGGTATAAAACCTATAGTATCTAAGCTGGATTTATTCATGAAATAGAAACAAACTAAGTTCCCATAGATTGTGTGAACACTTTTCTTTCAGTCTTTCAGAAATATTCTATTATACACATACTTTGAGTGTTTCAGATGCTAGACTTCACCATGTAGTGAGTGTTTGTCTAGATAGAGAAAGAAGTAAAGAACTCAGTTTCTTAATAGAGCAAAAAAGCTCTTTTACATTGTAGTTAGGCAGAAAGTTACAGGAAAGTCATTTAGCTTAGATATTTATTAGAGCATAATTAACACCATTGCCTTCCATGCATGCAGAAGACTGGGGTTCAATTCTCTACCTGGGGGAACACGCTAAGCTATAACGATAACAGACCTTGGGTAAGACTCCTAACGTCACATCTGCCTACATTTTTAACATAATTAAACTTTAAGTCGCTCCGGATAAGAGTATCTGCAAAATGCATAAACGTAAAGGGTTAATAGTTAAAGACTGATCAATATTTTGATCAAAATCTTTTACTTTTGATAAACTACATGAATACCTTGGCCCAATCCCATTTCACCGCCTACCACTCAGCCCTTAGCCCTCCGTTTTGTGCATTTATGTCTAGGGGGGGTAGGGTGTCCTGATTCTTGTTGAGATAGAGGGGTAGGGTGAAGTGTTTGGGCTACATGGCCCTCCAAACAGAGTTTTTCAGAGGCAAAAAAAAGAAAAACCGGTAAGATGGCAGTGCAAGAGACCAAAGAAACCCACAAATGTGAGAATTTTCTAAAAAAAAAAAAAATTACAATAACCACTGTATTGTCTTAGTTTAATGTCATTTCAGTGTATTATGGTCATTTTCATCATAACAAGCACGCTAATAGTATGCTAATATCTCGGTAGCTAGCTAGCTAACTTTCCCATTCCACCTTAAATAGTCCAGCAGTACTAACGCCTGAAGCACCAAAACTGCTGCTCCATTTAAAGCGGAACGGGAAAATTCGAACAAGAAGCTGGCGAACAGCTGACTTCAGCTTTATATCATCGAAGAAATGGGGGTGGGTGATAATAAATAATTGCCCCCTCTTTGAAGGCATATGATCCCCTAAATGTAAGTAAAGCCCAGCAGTGAGGAGCTGAACTTCACCCTCCTCTGCTGTCACTGCAGACTGGCAGGGTCGCCTACAGAGCAGCGCTGGTGGCTGTTAATAATGTTCTTTTTTATCTGAGGGTCCCATTTCACAGGAGAAGATTTCGACCACTACCCCTTGTAACTGATTTCCAAGGGGCAAGGAGAAACTTAAAAACAGTTCTGCACTCTCAGCTCCGGATATGATATCACATGAAGAGGCTTGCCATTTGTAACATAGAGAGTGCGGGAGACGTACGTACAGATGCCTATTACCAGAGAGCTGGCTCTGCTCATGATGTTTAAGGAACCCTCAGATATCAATCTGAAGAACCATTTCACCAAGAACTATTTAAGCATGTAAGGGTTCTGTTACTAAAGCACCCCTGAAGAACCTTCATGGGTTCAAAACACCAGTAAAATAGGCCAAAACTGATACATACCAGCAAGCTAATGAACACCCATTCCAAATCTTCAGTACTCTCTTTATTCGTTACAAAAGCCACTTGAATACACAAGATAGGTTAACGAGTTCCTCCTCGTACAAAACTATCGCCTCACTTGCACTTGAAAGCAGCATTACATTGTACTGTACACACTTTGGTGCTAAAAAAACAAAAACATGACATTAAAATTGTCTCATAAGGGCAGGAAAGTGTAACTGCAATTCTGAAATGAACCACTAGAGGCGTACTTGTTAGGAGATTATAGGGTGGGTCTGAAAGTGAGGGTCTAAAGTGAGGGTCTAAAGTGAGGTACTGCGGGTCTGCAGTTGGATATTACTGGATCAGAGAGCTTATTTGCATACCGCAGCCTTCAGATTAGGACCACAAAGGCCAATATCGGGATAACGATTAACAATAAACTGCGCGACCCTACTACCGATCCCGCCTTCCTCTTGGTGCATCTCTCTTCTCCACTCTTCTCCAACCCACTGCATCTTCCCTATCTTTCCATCTTTCTCTCTACTCTGCTGCCCCCAGCCCCTTTTTTCATTTCCCCATAGCGGTTATTGCACGTTTGCATTTAATAAATCTTTATGGCAGTAAATGAAGGGTTATTTTTTATTAGGGGGGAGCTAATGGTCGAATGATAGCACTCTGGAGGGCCATCGCTGGATATCTGCACATCACCCCCGACATCCAAGCGGGAGGCATTACACAGGTCAAGTGCATGTGTGCATGCAAACGAGGAATACATTAGCTGCGGGCTGTGCTGATTCACCGCATGATCATCTTCAAACTAATAGAATAACTCAAAATCTCTCAATCTCTGTTTTACTGCCAGTGGGATTTCATGACGGGAGACAGGCCAGTTAATGCTGGATACATCTCTAAATTCACTCCACAGGCGCAGCCATGGCAATCTCCGACCGGCCGTAAATTCAGTGCGCTGTCCGGAAACTCAGAGCGATCTGGACTCTCTAGCTGAAGCTTCAAATTAGCCAGAGCATTCTAAAGCCATTAGCCAGCAGCCCATGGGCCCACACAGTAAATCTAATATCTTTCGGAAAAGGTTTATTATTCACTTGATGAAACTGACTGTATAACATTCGATGCATTTAATGATCTCAAGTTCTTTCGCTTGTACGCTGTAGAATCCTGGGGCAAAGCACAATATTTGGATGGAAGATTTCAGTCGAGCAGTAGGTGATTTAAAAATGCATGCATACTAATCAAGGAGAGAAAGACTCAGGTGCGTTAGGTGGCCCCATCAGAACTCCTGATATAGGTGGCGGGGAGTACGGGTTATCTATACAGTGCTTCGCAGAAGTCTTTAGCACCTCAGCAGTACATTCATCTGTGCTTGTAAAATCATCATATATTGTTAGAATAAATGCAAATAAATAGAAATAGAGTAAAAATTAAACCAGTTGATTTCTTGGCAGCTAGTTTGAAGAAAAAAGTTTGGTTCCAGATTTCTCCTGGATGCCCTCAGCCTTTGCATGGATTTGTTAAACTGCAACCGGAGCACACCTGATTTATTTTAATGAAGGACTAATTAGTCAAACCAGCTTTTGCTGGGTAATTAATACTGGCCTTCCTCAAAGATTTGGTTTGGAAATAGTACAAACAAAATTGTAAAACTACTGTTTATTGTATTAATATAACTTGTATTTATTCTAATACAAGTGTTTTCTGAGCAAATAAAGGCATAAAAAACACATCTTTTACAGAGAACACACTTCTGTGCATTTAAATGCACACTGTTTTATATATTTCATATTTTTTATATACACAATGTATATATATATATATGTACACACACAGATCAGGCATAACATTATGACCACCTCCTTGTTTCTATGCTCACTGTCCATTTTATCAGCTCCACTTACTATATAGGTGCACTTTGTAGTTCTACAGTTACAGACTGTAGTCCATCTGTTTCTCTGCATACTTTGTTAGCCCCCTTTTACCCTGTTCTTCAGTGGTCAGGACCCCCATGGACCCTCACAGAGCAGGTACTATTTACAGAGCTGTGTCTGATCCACTCAGACCAGCGCAACACACACTAACACACCACCACAAAATCAGTGTTACTGCAGTGCTGAGAATGACCCACCACCCAAATAGTACCTGCTCTGTGAGGGTCCATGGGGGTCCTGACCACTGAAGAACAGGGTAAAAGGGGGCTAACAAAGTATGCAGAGAAACAGATGGACAGATGGAGATATATGTATATATATATATATATATATATATATATATATATATACATATATATACACACACACACATATATATATATATACATATATGTATATATATATATATATACACATATATATATATATGTATATATATGTATGTATATATATATATATGTATATATATATATATATATATATATATATATATATATATATATATGTATGCATTTTTGTAGTTTTTTCAGTTTCTGACATAATTTGAAAGTACCTGTTGTCCTTTACATTGTGTGTAAATTTCATGATGAATGTACCAAAAGAAACCACAACACTACTCGGAAAAAAGTCTGGTTCCCATTGACTTGCATTAAAAGTAAAGCAGGTTTTTTTCCTTCACCTATAAATGACCATTTTGGCGATACAAGATTTTGTTCCGACAGCAGCGAAACATATATTTAGTCTTTATTTGCTTTATTTAACATAATGAAAAAAAATATATAAAACCAAATGCACCAATGCAGAAGTTATGGCATTTATGTTTTTTCCCCTAATATGTTAAACTCACCACTCATCAAATAAATAGAAGTTGTACACTAACATTTGCAGAAAAACGGCAGAATTAAGTTTATTCCCTGGAGAACACAGGTTCCCAACCCAGTCATGGAGTATCCCCTGTCCTGCACATTTCTTGTGCTCTCCTGCTCTAACACACCCACTCCAGCTCCTGCTAACTAGCTGACAGGTTGAATCAGGTGTGTTGAGAGCAGAGAAAACACTGAAATGTGCAGGGGGTTCTCCAGGACCCTGGTTGGGAACCCCTGCTGTAGACTTATGCTCACCTAGAAAGGTCAACAAATATGTAAAGTGACAAGGAGTTTTAAAAATTTTGCATACAACTGTATATATACCAGTTACTATGCCCTGACTGTTTACAGGCTTTCTGTAATTGGTGTAAAAGTCCACATGATACACTCTGGAAAACTTACTGTGACATAATTTACCAAGGCAGCAATAACACCGTCATACTGCACATCCCTAAGCAAAGCAGAGGAGGAGGAGTGGTGAAGCGAGGGTGAAGGAAGGTGAGGAGAATGGTATAAACACAGGCAGGAACATGGTAAAGTGAGGGAGACGTAAATCTGACAGATAAGAGAGGTAATGAGTGACACCCTGTCTGGAGGACTCACACCGGGGAGCCTGAATGGAGTGACAGATGCAGGATAGAGTTACAGCCGCGAGCGTGTGTACTGCCTTTCACGGACCTGACCGAGACAGAGTGTTTCTATGACAGAACTGCAAATTGAAACACCTTGTATGCAGTAATCGACACTGGCAGTCCCAACGCTTCCCGCCTGATTCCGCACTGTCACACATGCACACTGGGGAGAGAAAAGGCGGAAGGTTTCCCCAGAAGAGAATAAGAGATGTCCACACAGAGAGAAAGTGTGAGAGAAATCATATCAGGAGACTCTGAGCAAACACATGCAACTTCACCGCTCTTAACCCAGGTAGATGCTAATTGCCCATGTCTGCGGGGAGGAGCGGGGGTGTTAAATGAAGGTAGGGATGGTACAGAAATCGCAGCATGCCGCGGTCTTCCTTTGGTGCCAATATAACACCCACAGAGGGACCCCAGGAAAAACACACATCAAACGCTAACAACTCAGAAAAATACCTGCAGTTCGGCTTCTTACTCTTTGATGAAGTTGAGATGTCTAAGACTGGGCAGCGCAGGGAGCTTCTGCCTTACAGTCAGGTTCTAAAAGCTTAAGATATATTAGTGGTTCCAAAACGCAGCGCTGACAGGTCACCCGGGACTCATTAACGTAAACAAATCTTACCAAAGATGGAACATGGAAAAGCAAATATCACTTAGAACATTCTCGCATTCTGTCTAATTAAAAATGAATTTAACTGGCACTTCTTCTGGGACTTCTTCCATGTTTACCCAGGAAGATGTAAACATTAGGAGATACCATGGTAGTAATGAAATTCCTCATTAGTCTCTGTCAACCTCGGTTCAGTTTAATGATCAATTTAAACCATTTAAGCCAGAATTTACAATAGTTTATTCCCTGTTTTCTCTTTTACAAAGATCTGGAAAAGAGTCACACATAAAAGAATACAACTATATTAAGAAGGTCTACAAATTTAGGGAATTTAGTGTTTCAGTGGGTCACTGGTATAGCTACATGCAAAAGTTTGGGCTCCCCTGGCCAAATTACATATTTTGATCTGCGGCACACCATTTCAAAAAATAAACTTTTCTGCAAATGTTAATTTCTTAGCTTATTTATATTTGCTTAAACTAAAGTAGTAATTGGGGCATAATGTGTTAATATTCAGCAACAACCCTCTGGCACATATTACAGATCGCAAAGACTTTTTGTAGCCAGCCAAGAGTCTTTCTGATCTCGTTTTAGGATTTTTTACCTGCTCTTCCTCACAGAATACCTCTCGTTCTGCAGTATCCTAGGGGTGTCTTACGTGCACATCACGTTTAAGCTCTACCCACAGATTTTCAATGATGTTCACCTTCAGCTTGTGTTTCCTGAAATAATTCATGGTGGATTTTGAGGTATGTTTTGGATCATTGTCCTACAGAAGCCAACCTCTTTTCAGTTTCTATTTCTTGATTGTGTCACATTCTCTCCCAGGACTTGCTGATATTTATGTATGTTCACATATTTAGGGGAATTTATCTTTCATCTACCTGTGCAATGTTTCCTGTGATACTGGCTGCCAAAGCATAATAGCTCCACCCCCTTCTATTTTGTATTCAGTTCTAATTTAATATGATGTTTTTATTACAAATGATATTTGAGTGAAAAGTAGAATCTTTGAATGTTTACCTGAATTTCAGAATTTATTAGTATTTGCTATATTTCCCTTTTGCTTCAATGACAGCATGTGTTCAAGCTGGCATGGGCTCCATAAGCTTATAAACAGTAGATCAAATCCGAGAGTCGACTGAACAATTGCACAATTTGTACAACCTGGTGAATATCTCAAATTGGCTTAAATTTGAATAGTGATCTAGAAGTAGTGCAGAATTTTGGATATTTCTTCTTCAGTTTACTTGTCATAACTTTCCTTCGTTTTAAATGTTTTCAAGATTCAGAAACTTTCTGTTGTTTATTTCCTGGTTTAAATGGAAACCAGACTTTGGGACACCACTCTACACAACATACACACACAAACAGCGACTCACCAGCATGTCGGTGGCGTGCAGGTAGTGCTTGCTGGCCATGAAGGTCTCCAGTTTCTGGGGGACCTGCTTGATGTTCTCGATCTCGTCCAGCAGATTGAGGACGTGCTTGTGCTCTATCCCCTCGATCCACAGCTTCCTCAGCTCGTCCCGCTTACAGTGCAGCAGCATCTTACACGACAGCAGGTTCTCCTTCACCTTAAGAGGACAGACCAAAGAGATAATTAGGAAATAACTCATCCAAAAACGCTAACGGGAGCAAGTGGCAACCAGTTAGCATGATCTTATGTGCGTATTTCTAATTAGCTCCACCTGTCATTCTTTCTTGGGAACATTTGCATATTTTGGAAAGCTTTGCTTAAATGATGATTGGGGTTATTGTCATTACACCTCACACAGTTTTAGAGCAGTTCAAAACAAGCAAATCATAAACGGCACCATTTCAGCTTTCACTATCTTTATAGCCAATCCGCTCTGTATAAAACATCCAATGTCAATTGCAAACTGAGAAGCACAAAATAAAAAAAAGATCCAAAAGAGCCTTAAAGGTCCAACACAAGTATTTTTTGAAACAACTGTCAAAAATAAAATGTTGGCAAACAATCTCATGCATTTCAGTTTGAGATATTTTCTCCAAAGATAAGTTAAAACAAGAGTTTCATACTTTTCTCTGTTGACTTGACCCAGTTCACTTTGTGGGTAGGAACCTCAATGCATTGCACACTTCTAGACTAACTGACAACCCATGCAATAAACGTATCAATCCAATTTAGTTTGAAGATTTAGTTGAAGAGCATGCAATAATTTAATTTTATTAAAAAATAAATTTTATTAAAATTATCAAACATAGTATAAAGTGCTCTCTAAATAAATTAGTATCAGTATTGTTATCATTATTACTACAATAAAGCTTAAGACATGTACAAAACAATTAAAGTTAAAAAAAAATCTGCACAATACTATTTATTAGAAATGGCACAATACCACTTTTCCCTCCTGACACCAACACTAATACTGAAATCTTTGAATATCAGTCGAATAATAATAATAATAACTCAATTATACAAATATGAGCCCGAAGAGAACATCAGAACCGAGCTCATCTTAGAAGAGAAAGATGTGAAACCATACTAAATAAATTCTACACAAGAAAACATTTTAACAATAAGCTGAGCAAACAGCTAACAGGCTCCTCCAACAATGTTGAGAGTTAGACTTTAAGTTTAAGTATTTAGTAAGAGATTCACTGAAAAACTGCAACATACAAAGCAAAAATGAATTACATGCACATCTTTGATTTACAATTGTGCTAAGTTGTGGATAAAAGTTAGATCACAGGCAAAAAAGCACTTGGAGAAAAAAAAGTTCACTAAAGACAGAAAAAGAAACTGAGGCTCGTCTCATTATTTGGAATTGGGCACAGAGAGTGACTATAACTAACTCCCTCTTGCATCCCAAAACTGAGCATTTGTACACTGTCAAGCAGAATAATGTGGAAGGCAAGCTGACTTATGGCTCATGAATATGCAATATAAAGTAAACAGTGATTTGTTATGGTCAATTAGCCCTATGTGTATGATATCTTAGATAACACCAAACAAGCGTGTCTGGTCAGGCGGCATTGTAAAAATGTTTAAAATTCGGTTCAGGTTCACTGAGAAGTGCACAACATAAACTATGTGGCCAAAAGTATGGGGACACCCTTCCTAATTATTGATGTGAGGTACTTCAGCCACACTCACTGCTAACAGGTATCATCAATCAAGCACATAGCCATGCAATCTCCATAGACAAACAGTGGCAGTAGAACAGGTCATACTGAAGACCTCAGTCTATATATATATATCCAGTCTGGAGCTTTCCAGTTTTCCAGGGTTTAAGTCCCTTAGTTCCAGTGAAGGGTGATGTTAATGCTACAGCACACAAAGACATTTTAGACAATTATACGCTTCCAACTTTGTGGCAGCAGTTTGGGGAAGATCCTTTCCTGTTCCAGCATGACTGAGCCCCTGTGCACAAAGCAAGCTCCATAAAAACATGGTGTGACAAGTTTGGTGTGGAGGAACTCCAGTGGCCTGTGGAGAGCCCTGACCTCAACCCCACTGAACACCTTTGGGATGAACTGGAGTGTCGACTGAGAGTCACAATAATCGATAACCCAACTGAACAACGTTTGGGATGAACTGGGCTGTCAATTACAAGCCAGACCTTCTCATCCAACATCAGTGTCTTACTTCACAAATGCTCTTTTGACTGAATGGGCACAAATTCCCACAGACACACTCCAAAATCTTGTGGAAAGCATCCCAGAAGAGTGGAGGCTGTTATAGCCACAAAGAGGGGGCTAAACTCCACATTCGTTTTGGAATGGGATGTCCATCAAGCTCATGCAGATGTGATGGTCAGGTGTCCACATACTTTTGGCCATATAACGTAAGCTGTGCTGAAACAAAAGTACACACATACTCCCAGACTTACTGTTAGTGCAGCTTTTGAGAAAGGAGGGATTTTAAATGCTGTAAGTTTAACAGGACAATTTTTCAAAAAGTGTTTTTTTAGATATACACCAATATGAGCATGGCACAGATTACATTCACACAAACAGAAGCAGGATAAACATCCTCTACGTAAACATCTTTCACGAGCGCAGCAATCAATTCAGTCACCTGTGTCTTGAAAATGATCTGTGTACGAGTGAAAGAAGTGATAGCTAGTCCCTCGGCATCTCTCATCAAGAACATTAGCCGCAAATAGACTGAGTCGGCCGCTTTCCCCTAATTTCTCTAGAGAGAGGGCGAGCAAGAGTGTTTGTGTGTATGTGTGGGGAAGCCAGCAATGACAGGAAGACAGATTTGACACCCCAAAAACCGCCAAGAGCTTCAGGGACAAACCAACAGACCGTCACTATTACCCATAGTGCTACGGCACCGCTCCCTGCGACTGGGACTCGTGTTAAAAAAGGAAAAGTGTAAACACTGTTAATTTACAATGGCAGACAGGGCCAGTTTGTACCTGATTCTCCACCACACTTTGAAGCAAAACGAGGGATATTAATTTATTTCCACATGTCTCTGTTAGAGTATGTGTGCCTCCCCCACCTGTTTGATCTTGTTGCGAGAGTTGGTGATCCTCTCGGTGATGCTCTGGTAGGTGCGGATGGCGGTGGTGAGTTCAGTGTAGTGCTGAACAATGAGCTCATCCAGATCACGGTCACATTTCTCATAGGCGTCCTCCAGGCGACTCTTCTCCGTCTCCCGGTCCTGCACATCGTCACTGCTTGACAGGGTCCTACGAGAAGAAAAATATGTTTACAAATGTAAAATCACAATACAGATCGCCTTAAAAAACAGCATTAACTGTAATGTGACGTTCCAAAAGATTCTTAAAGAGGAGAATCTGAAAATACAAGCCAGGTGGTGTTTTGTGTTGATCTGCAGGTGTGACATAGACCGACTGCTATAAGGATATATGAGGATAATAAAAGCTTAAGACATGTACAAAACAATTAAAATGTAAAACATCAGCACAAAACTACTTATTGGAAATGGCACAATAGCATTTTTCCCCCTGACACCAACACTGATATTGCAACCTTGAATATCAGTCGATACCAATTCAATATTTCTCCCTTAAAAACTACTAAGCTTTACAATTAGCTATTTTAATATAGTGTAAACAGAGGTAGCTATTTTAATTGAAGCATTTCACATAAGACAAACATTTAAGCCTCTGTTTACACCTGGATTTGTATCCATATTGTAACCTGATATGATTTTAACCGCATGTTTATACACTTAGTAGTCAGATGCAGTCTGGCTAGTCAGACTGAAATCTCATTAAAATGTGGCACATAACATGCAAATCAGCTTTTATACAACAAACAATCACCTGTGTTGTTTCTTTGTTTTTCCTGTTCTATTCAAAAAACATCTGCTGCCTTGAAAATTACAATTTGCATCGTGTTATTCATTATTCATTTTCTTACACCAACTTTACATTAATGTTTTCAAGAAAACGACCATTAAGAATACTATTATTCAATATAATATCAAGGCAAAGTAAAAGTGAACCAATCTGGTGCTTTATTTTTAAGCAGCTCAGGCCACTTAAAGCTACTGAATTCAACTCAGAGGAGAATCTCACAGCTGAACTGAAGAAGCAGTGATGCCTCTGTATAGTCGTGGCAGTCTGCTGGACATTTCTACCCATATGCAGAACAGCAGAGGGGTTTCAGTTGTCAAATGTGGCTTTGAGAAAAGCCACATTTACACTCTTAACACCACATTTAACATCTGGCTCATGCATCTCAGACGACCTCCCGAAGTGGTTTGAGCGATCAGATTCAAATCATGTTTTGATAGCATCTTGGGTGCATTTACATCTGCATTTTAATGTAGATTATATTCAGAGATTATCCACAATACACTCAAGACACATGAAACAACCAGGTGCAAACGGGGTCTAAAAGCAGGCTATCACACTTAAACTGCTCTACTACCCCACAGGAAGAACTACATAGCTAACACAGCGTGAATGAGTGCCATTTCAGGACCGCCAGTTTATTATGGTTAACTGGGAGTGCTGGTGCTGTCGTCCCACTCACTCAAATTTGGTGACAGTGTAGCAGAGGGGCGCTGACATCTCAGGAGGCCTCACGTCTTCGTTACCCTGCTGGTTCTCCCTTTTAGTTGGGCTGTAAAAGCTGGACCTATCGGAGTCTCTGCTGCTCTCTGTTAACACTGTATACTGTAATCAGTCACTCTTTAAAGAACTAACTCTGTGTGTTTCTTTGCCGTGTTGAATATCTGTCAATTCTGTGTGTCTGATGCTGTTACTTCTTCTGCCCTGATTGGGTGCCCACTGGACCAGTGTGACCACCATGGAGCTCCCTGCTGTACAGCACTGGGCAAACCTCACCTGCATGAACTGACCCTCCTGATGCTGCTGCTGCGGCACAAACTCGGAACTATTTAATTATAACGCAGCTTCACCTGCTTTCCCCCTTTTCTGTATTTCAGTATTTTATACTAACACTGTTTGCTATCTGGGGTCGACCAGAGGAGGATGGGTTCCCCTTTTGAGTCTTGGTTCCTCTCAAGGTTTCTTCCACTGGCGATGCTCATGGGGGCTCGAACCCGCATTTTTCTGTAAAGCTGTTTTGTGACAACGTCTCTTGTAAAAAGCGCTATATAAATAAACTTTGACTTGACTTGACTGGATCGTATTCATTCTTTTCTCCCTCCAGTATCCTATTCAGTATATTCCACTGATACAAGCCCAATACAGATACCCACAGGGACCGATATGCTGTCTCTACTAATCATATGAAAAGCACTTCTGTAGGACATAACTCCAGTAAGTCTAAAGAGGCTGAAACCTAAAGGGGAACTCCACCGATTTTTCTAAATTTCTACCCAATTCAATCCTTTAGATGTAAATCAAGTAACTTACAGAGGGCTTCTTCACAGTGGAGGAGACAGGAATGTAAATATCTACAACACAAATATAGCCATTTTATTTACCATCTCAAATGTGGTTAAAATATGTTTTTTGGGGACTATTTTGCCTTATAACGTTCTCCACGTATCTCTATGTCATGAATGAATTAAAATAAGTAAGATTTAGACTAAAATCTTACCTCAAATCTGTCATAAAACAATGTCTCAGCCATTGGGCAACATATTTGTGATCATTTCACGGAATAACTTTCTTGTGATCTGAACTTTCTTCAGACGTCTGGTTCCTATCACCACAACTGTGAATAATTCTGCCTCTCAAAGTTTCTCTAGAACTTAGTATCCCACATCAAACCACTCTGAATAAGCCTGTTTACATCTCATCCATTTAATTATCCAGAAATTTATCAAAAGAGATGGGAAAACATCTGTTTGACTGTCTTTATATAATCTCAGGCTCATATTTGGATCCAAGCACAAACTCATATCATAATTAGTATCTTGTAGACACTTGGAATAACACAGTTGGATTCAGGCAACACAATTTTAATTAGCTTATCCGTTTAATTTAAAGAAAGCGTCTCCTCTAACTCAGATGCTGACTGGGGACAATGGCCATCCAACAGAATTCCCCGATGGCCGACTGCCAGAAACAACACCACAGCTCAAAGAAGCTGTTGTGATTAATCTCCACTGCAGTGCAGCTCATGGCTACAAAGCAAAGGCAAGCAGAGCACACTCTCCCCACAGAGCTCATTACAGCCACACTGCACTCTCACAGCCTTTCAGAGAAAAAGAGAGGGTTCGAAGGCAGGGTCCCTTCATAAGGGCTCGCCAAGACTGCAAGAAAAGGTAAGAGGGGAAAAAAGGCACATATGAGCTTTGAGTCTGGGACCTCACTAATCTAATCTTGAAGACTGAGTACGTCCATCATATAATAGAAATGATGAAAGGACGTGCTCAAGTGTGGCCGAGGTGGAGACCACACTGAGACGCAAAGAGCTTTTGAAAGTCCTTAACTGATCAACAGCACAGACAGAGACCCTCTCCCTTTCCCCACTGAGGCTGGCAAACTTGTTTAACAGGCGACGGCCGACTCCGTAGGTGTTCATCTCTCGGCTTTTCCAACAACGCGCCCTCGCTGCACTCTTGTCTCACCGCCTAATCTTACTGCCGTGCCTACATCAGCAAAAGAAAACATCCCTGCTGTGTTTTGCCTACTGGACGTGATGCTGCTGATCCCAGACATCTCTAAGCTCATGAGACGTCACCTACCAGATCAGAGGAACCCTGAAGGAAAAGCACAGGAGAATGGCAAGTCAGTCATCGCAAATGCTGACTTGCCCTATTGTTCATGCTGGCAGACTTACGAAGTCACCTGTGGGCCACGCTTGACCAGATAAACTAAAGTCAAGGCCTACTTTCTGCTGGCGGTAGGAAACTTTCTCCAGACATACTGAATCCAGCATCTGTTGACTTTTCAAGAGGGACGCTGAGGAAAAAAGCTGTCTTTCAAGGAGAACCGTCACTACTATTATCATTACAACGGCTTTACTGCGGCAGTAAAGGCTTTGATATGGTCCAAGTCACGTCAAGAGACTTTTATTGTCATTCCATCTATGTACAAGTACACAGTGGAGTGAAATTTCATACATTTCTACAGGGTCAAAAAAGATGGTTCTTTAAAGCCTCTTTAGTAAAGACAATGCTTCTATTTAGTACCACGAGTTCTATATAGAACCAATTCTTGCTTAAATGATTGTCTGCATAGTGAAACGTTCCATATAACACCGAAAAGCATTCTTGTATATATTTCAAGCTTGACATCGTAATAACAGAAGAACCCTTGTTGGTGCTGTATAGAACCATTTTCAGAAAGGTTTTATATAGGACCATACACAACACATTCTCCATCAGCCTGAAGAACCACACTCACCATAAAAAGAGCCAAGCATGAAATGACCCTATGTAGAAGTCAAGATTTTAAACATAGCCATTGGCATTACTAAGGAACCCTAAAAGAACCATCTTTTTCAAGGTTGTTGACCCTTTTCTGTTGTTCTAGGTTGTCAGTCTGGATGTCAAACACTTGAGCCAAGTCGCAAAGACACTTTTTAGCCCTCAAAATGACCCAGAACGTCAGCAGATAGAGAGCAGAACACATTTTACCAGCTGAAATAGACCAACAAGAGAAGAACTACTGCAGTCACGTTCACTGACAATGATTTACAGATCACTGCTGCTAAAAATGACCGTTAACTTAACCGGGTTGAGCTGCACGTCCAGCATTATGACCGACTTTCTAATGTCATTTGGCAGTATTGTGAAGGTTTCACAAAAACGGACAAATGTCATCTTCACGTCAATCAAACTGACTTGTGTGTTTGTTTCTGAACTGCGAAATAAACAGAAAAACAGGACGTAACGCTGGTCTCGCTGGGTTAGCTGACATGCTAACGTTGTGGTCATTGTTTTGCCTCGTTAGGCCGTTAAAAGAGCTCTTCTGCCAAACGTCCCGCCAAGAAACGCCGCACACACGAAGGCAAGACGCAAAACAAGCGGAAAACGTCAGGCTTACCTTATAACAGAGATTAATAAGCCCGAGGGGTCTTTGCTTTTGGACACCGCGCTCCTGTATCGCCCTGTGTCGGCTGCCATCTTTCCGCTACTACACCCAAACAGACGTCATTCGGAACTACAGCGGCGCCAGCCAATGAGGAAAGGAGTTACTGCACGGTCAGGTGACAGGACAAAGTGATCATGGGAAATGAAGTTTTTGAGCGCAGCGCTGTTTTTACTCTTTCCGTCTCATTTCCGCTGGTTTCTAACGACTGTACAGTAGTTACCACGTAGTTAATCAAAAACTACGGAGCCCTGCTGGTGACATCCTGTGTAAATAAAAATAATGCACGGCCACGCCTTATTAACGCGTGGGAACTAGATCCTAATGCGTGGCCATGACTTAGTAAGGCGTGGAAATGAGATGATTAATGCTGACCATACACTGGAAGACTTTGAAAAGACTTTTGAAAGACTAAAGTCTGACACCCTCTCACATCTAAAGACAGTGTCACGGTTTTTAGTCACAGACTATGATTTTGTAAAGACTGGGGATCTTGCAGGGTCACTATTTACAAGACTGCAACTAGATTTTTGAGATTATTCCCCATCATGCACCTGGTGGACATTCACAAGCAGATAAACACTTTTCCTTCCACTCTGTAGTGGTGCAGATGGGAAGATATGTTGGCTGAGCAGGTAAAGATCTGAGGCTCAGCTCAGTTCGCTGTAGAACTGTGTGCTCTGGCAGATCATCACCCAGAATCTTTTAATTAACCTGTAAGATGTGCAGCTACATTTTTTATTTAACATAAAGATTTACACATCAACACAACATGCAGCGATTCGGTGTTGTTGATTGGGTGTTATGAACTAAACCATAAAAAACAAACAGTGTAACAGGATGACCCGAGCGCGACGCGACTCTAACAAGACCCTCATGATTTTATTCCGACACTAGATATTTGTCTGAGACAGTGAAATCGCTTGAAAAGCCGTTTGGTGTAAGGCCAGCGTAAGTCATGGCCATGACTTAGTAAAGCGTGGGAACGAGATCACAGCTTACTAAGTTGTGGCCATTCATTACGATCTTGTTCCCACGCCTTACTACGTGGTGGCCATGCATTAGGATCTTGAACGTTACCACGCCTTACTAAGTCGTGGCCACGCATATTTTTATTTATACATTATGTCGCCAGCGGGCCTCCATAAAAACATACTTAAGCATAATAAAGTGTACTTTTTTCACTTTTTATATTTTATTTATCTCAGAAAAGTTAAAATATTATAACAGACACAACACAAACGTTGACAATGACCGTGTTACACACATTTACAATCTTTGCAAAACCATCAAATTACATGTTTTTGTTGATTTTCTAGGTGATAATAAGCGCACATCCTCTAGAGGGAACACACTGCACATTTTAATGCACAATTACTGTTTATTTGCTGAATTTAACACATTGGGAGGAAAAAATAAAGCGTAAATAAAGTGGCCTCTGCTAAAGTCATGGCACATTTTAAATTTTATATTTTATTTTTTTTCCAACATGTTAAACTCAGCAAATATACAGAAATGTTGCCCCACAATTTTCAGAACAAAATGTTTGGTCCTTAAAAAGGAAGAACTTTAAAAACGCATTTTCTCATGTAATTTGACGGAGGTTGTATATTGTAGTGTCTTGGAAAAGAAGGAAAGACAGGAGAGGCCCTGATGTCTGCTGAAATAAGAAGACCAGCAGAAAAGGCACATAAACACAGCCGGAGATAGCAGGCAAGGTCACTACTAACCATAGCTCTTCACTCTACATTATGTTACCCAGCCCAACACACAATAACACAAGCAACACATACACACACATTAAACTAAAGAACAACATTAAATAGCAACACTTGACGTCCCTTTGGTGGAGTCCTTCTGTGAACCGGAGCAAGTGGCAGCTACCGCAACACATACAATACCCTTCCCAACCCTCTCCTCACAGTGGCAGCCCAGTGTTGTAGTTCTTATCCAATGCGTGGTTTGATTAATCAGTGCTTACTTGTGTTAAATTAGCTGTACTGGTGGTGGAATTCAACAAATCAAGGCAGAAATCTGGAACTGCAGTTCTTCAAACTTCAAACTCACAAGATCAAAATATGAAATTCTTGTTTCTTTGCACTGCATTTATGTTTATTTGCATTTATTCTAAAGATATATTGTGTTTCGACTGGCTAAGACATATATTTATTGCCAAGATGAATGTCATTAAACATCGTGCTCAGTGCTATATACCATAATATATACACATACAATAACACACATCATGACCGAGCAAATCTAATTAATTGCTTTCTTGCTTTCTCTTCCAAGGTAATCCATTTTTCTGCACTTGGCAGTGGGCCGCAGCCCTTCCCTTCAGTATCTCTTGACAATCTCTGCTGCAACAAACCCAGGAGGAAAGGGCATTGATCCTGCTGGAGAGGGTCGATGTGGCAGCCTCTGGTTTGATTGATGTGTCCGTGGACAGTAGAGATAACAAAGTGGGCGATCTTTGTGTTTTCTAAAAAGAGAAACAATCACGAAGACTCTCGGGTCCATTTTTTTCACCTTTAACAGCATGAGCTTCCCTGAGCCAAGTTTAATTCCAGAGTTCTTATCAGCCTTTCTCTGCGGCCAACAGCTCATCACTCTGGCTAATCTACTGTCCTTTACTGATGACAAGGCACTGAGCTTTTTCCCATCACTTCCCATAGTGGTGCTTCCTAAACTGGGGTCCAAGGAATCCAATGTACTCCTGTCACTCAAGGACGGCTTTCTCGGTCAGCTTCACTTCTCACCGCACAGCACAGAAAGTCCGTAAAGTATGTGGAATCGGCTCTTCTGTTTTATGGGGCCTTTAGGCCCCTGGAAAACAACAGGGGGCACAGGAGATACGATGCAAAACAAAGGCTTCTCTAATGGTGAATATAAATGTGTGTAAATGTATATACGTGTACATACATATAAAACTCAGAGGACTCGTGTAGGTTCACTGGTGGTTTTGGATAGTAAATAAAATGGCTATATTTGTGTTGTAGTCATGGCGACCCCTGGTTCCTATCACCACCACTGTAAAATGTGAGTCACTAAGTCTCCCTACAATGAACCATTTCACATCAAAGCACTCTGAATGACTGCTTACATCTCTGCAATTGAAATACACAGAAATTTAGAAACATCTCATCTCATTTAATACACGATTTCACCAAACACACACTAGATACTTGGGAAAACTTGCAGCAACCATATGTTATAGTGCAATTAAGCGGCAGCCACACTTTCAAAATCTGAAGCAATGAGATCACATCCTATAAAACTGACGTCTTTCCAGCCACTCCGTATCTAATATGACAACCGATCATTTATATGAGGAGTACAGTAGTATATTGGAGTTCTTTCATTCTGTGACACTATATTACTTCCCGTGTGAAAGTGTCCTCTGGGTAACTGGACCATGGTGGTAATCCGTCTTAGTGAGATGTCTGTGTAGATTTAAAGATGACATTATGCAGACGAATCATGTCCGCTTAACAAGCTAATGGCCCACGGCATTTTGGTAATGAGGAAGGCGACATGCAAACATGCGAGAAAAATCTGCTTTTAGAATCAAATGAGCTCGTATTAGGGCTCTCAGACTGGTGCTACAAAATCAATTCGGCCATGGAGCGCTCAGCTATATTAGCTGAGAGTGAATCTCTCGTTTCCCAGCTGCACTGCCAAGCTCCACCGGCATCATTCATCTGCTCAGCCACACGCTGTCGGCCGCAGCGATACAGACTGTGCAGTTCCTGTTCAAGAGCCTCCCAGCTGGCTGATCAGATGATACGGTAGCGACTGTAACGGATCTCACACGGATCCCTGGATCCAAATGAGTCTGCTTGCAGACAGATAGGCAGTAACTACATCATTCTGGAGTACGTTTACTTTGCAAAGGTGTAAAGGTCTCGTGTCTGGCTCCAGAGAGAGAGTGAGGCACAACATAACGTTTAGTTTTTTTTGCTGAATAATTTTACAAACGATTGGAGGAACATTAATACTACGTTCATACAAGCAGCTCACACATCTCTGCTACAAATAAACACATAAACTTCCAGCACATATTGTTAATGAATAATTCAGCTGAAAGCAGAGTCAGAGCAAACATCACGGCTTACCCCATGGGCAGGGTTAATTGTAACAGATGGAGGGACTAGTAGTTAGTGTTACTCCAGAGCGGCCTCGGTCTCAAAGTCATTTCACAACGATGGGAGAGACAAAGAGGCAGGATGCATGTGCAAGTCCTTTGATTTACTGAAAACGTGGAAGGCAATGACTCTACACAAGTGAATTAACAAATAAGGAACAGTAATGATAAAATACTTGGCCCAATCCCATTTCACCCCTCGCCACTTAGCCCAACCCCTCCGATTTGTTCATCTCTAGAGGTAAGGTGTCCTGATTTTGATTGAGATAGAGGAGTAGGGCGAAGTGTTAGGGTTACTTGACTCTCCAAACGGAAGTTTTTCAGTGGCACACTCCAAACAGAGTGTTATGAGAAAAGAAAAACCGGCAAGAAACCCACAAATGTGAGAATTCTCTCCATTAAAAATGATGACAACCACTGTATTATCATAGTTTATTGTCGTTTCAATGTATTATGGCCCTTTTCTTCATAACAAGCATAAAGAATTGTTAGTAGTATGCTGATGTCTGGGTAGCTAGCTAGCTAAATTTCCCGTTCCACCTTAAATAGTCTGGCAGTACTGATGCCCAAGGTGCCAGAATGTAACTGCTGCTCCATTAAAGCAATGGGCAAATTCGAATGAGAAGCTGGCAAACAGCTGAGTTAAGCTTCACATCACTGAAGAATTAGGGGTGGGCGATATTAAATAGTTGTCCTCCTCTCTTTAAAGGCATTTAATGGCCTAAATGTAACTAAAGCCCAGCAGTGAGGAGCTGAACTTTACCCTCCTCTGCTGTCACTGCAGACTGGCAGGGTCGCCTACAGAGCAGCGCTGGTAGCTGTTAATTAAGTATTGTTCTTTTTTATTTGAGGGTCCCATTTTGTAGGGAAGATTTCAAGCACTACCCTTGTAACACAGTTCTAAGGGGCAA